ACAAGGTCAGCAAAGCCCTTCAGAAATCAGACCTGTTATTGAGTTCTTGTGCAAGTTTGTACAGTTCACTTCTGGATTTTTTAAAGAGAAGATTTTGATGAGCTTGAGAAACAAGCAAAAGCCACCTTGCCAAATGTTAACTACAAAACAAGGAGACAAAGAGTGAGGGAACGGCAAAGAAATGACAGAAGTGCACCTGATGTCTTAGATGCACTTTCTTCAAGAGATAAGTTTAGGATAAAATTCTTTATTCCTATATTAGATGCTTGTTGTTGTTGTTGTTGTTTAGTCGTTTAGTCGTGTCCGACTCTTCGTGACCCTATGGACCAGAGCACGCCAGGCACCCCTGTCTTCCACTGCCTCCCGCAGCTTGGTCAGACTCATGTTTGTCGCTTCAAGAACACTGTCCAACCATCTCCTCCTCTGTCGTCCCCTTCTCCTTGTGCCCTCCATCTTTCCCAACATCAGGGTCTTTTCCAGGGAGTCTTCTCTTCTCATGAGGTGGCCAAAGTATTGGAGCCTCAGCTTCAGGATCTGTCCTTCCAGTGAGAACTCAGGGCTGATTTCCTTAAGAATGGATGCGTTTGATCTTCTTGCAGTCCATGGGACTCTCAAGATTCTCCTCCAGCACCATAATTCAAAAGCATCAATTCTTCGGCGATCAGCCTTCTTTATGGTATATTAGATGCACTTGAAGCCAATTTAAAAAGAAGTAATGCACACAGTGATGTTGCACAGCTGTTTTGCCATTCTTGCTTTTCTGATAGCATCTAAGCAAGAAATTCAGCAAGGTCTTTCTTCATCTAAATCCGGCCCTGGACGGGGGACGGGACAGGAGAGAGGGACTGGAGTAGCAAAGCTTAAGTTCTTTTCTTTAATGTATGCTTGGGGTTTTTCTGTCAGCATCACTTGGGGAAGTTCTCTTTCTATTCGCTTGTTATGTTTCCTTGATAGTGAAAGAGGCTGGGGTGGCTGATCATCTTTGGCTGGCCACAGTGGGATTTGTTTGTGCGTGGGTGAGGGGGGTCGTCGGGTTAAGTTAGCCATATTGAATTGTATGCTGTCAGTGAGTTATGAGCTCTTTCTATTGTGAGTGGGCAGTTATATTGGAAGATGTTCAGTAGGGCCAGTTCTGGGGTGACTTCTAGTGCCTGTTTAGTTATTTTACTTATTTCTGGTATGACTGTGCACACTCCCTTTTCTGACTGGGTCCTCGATTACTTGGTTTGGTGGGAACTGCTGGTTCGGACACAGCATACGTCTGAGAAGGCCCCACGTGGGATCATGGGGAGGGGGTGCAAGGAAAAAACTGTCGTGACATTGATTTCTTGGGCAACTTGGAAGGGCTGTGGTGAGATCCAGAAATGGCAACCTGGAGCCCCACTGACCACTTAACTACTCTCTTCTCCATCAGCTTGGGAGCTTTTTCTGAGATGATTGCGGGGTATGATAGCATCCTTTGTCGTCTGAGCATCTTTATTAAGGTGTAACAGATCTGCCTGCCTTTGATCAGTTGTGCTTCAAGGGAAGCTCACCAGTCCTCTGATTCTTTAATATTTTCCAGCCCAGATAGATGTTAATCAAAGGATCTCACAATAGTCATCTCCTTGCAGGGGCAAGGAAGCACAAGAGAATCAGATGCACCACAAGAGCATCTTGGATGGGATGGCTTTCAAAGAGGGCTAGACAATTGCATGGAGGAGAGGCCTATCAAAGGCAACTAGCCGCGATGGCTATGCTCAGGCTACGCTGTTGAAGGGAGCATTGCTTCTGAAAAGCATTTGCTGGAAGCCACAGACTCCCCAAATGTGTTTCACAAGGACCCCTTCCTTCCCTCTGCCCCAGTACCTGAGGGTCATCATGTCTCTCCAGGGATTTGGCCAGAACAAACTATATGTTGGGGAAAGTCTCCCTCCGTGCAAAGAAAATGGAGGAAACAGCAGGCGCCTGGCTCCCAGCCATGCTAGCACCAGTCTGGTACATGAGGGTGGGGGACACAGGAAGGAAACGTTACTATAGTATAGGGCAATTGGCATTTCTACCTACCTGAACTCTGAGCCTTTCCCTCCTCGTTCTGGACTGCCACTCTCCTAAGGAAGATGAGATGCAAGCTCTTGCTGGAAGCCACTGGTGAGGAGAGTGTTCATATGATTCCCAAATGTTTCAGAAGCATATTTTTGTTCCTTTAGCTGCTTCCTTTAGCATGGCAGAGTTGGAAGGGATCCCAAGGGTCATCTAGTCCAATCCCCAGCAATGCAAGGATCCTGCCCACAGCCAGCCCTGGCTGGGCTCCAAACTCCAGCCTTCTGGTTACCATTGTAATTCTGCATGGTGTGGAGAGAGAGAAATGTGTTGCTTACACTCTCATAACACTGATATGAGATCCACACCATGCAGTCCTTTCAATAACTAAAGTCTAATGGGCTGTCACATGGAGGATGGAGCAAGCTTGCTTTCTCCTGCTCTAGAGGCCCTTAGGGCCTGAAGCATTGACTCTCCTTCCTTGGAGGCTTTTAAGCAGCGCTTGGATGGCCATCGGTCATGGATCATCTAGTTGAGATTCCTGCATTGCAGGGGGTTGGACTAGATGACCCTCGTGGTCCCTTCCAACTCTACAATTCTATGATGCTATATTTTAAAGAGCATCCAATGAACCTTTATAGCACATGACTTCCCCTGAAATGATTCGTGCCATTGTGGCTTCCCTTTCACAGACCTACAATCCCCAGAACCCCTAACAAACTACAATTCCCAGGATCATTTGGGGGAAGACATCTGGTTTTTAGAACAGGGATCAAGAACTTGCAGTTTGCTCACCCCCATTTCCTAGGAACCAGGAATGGAAAGCTCAAGTGCTTCTAACAGTATGATTATAGGGAGCATCATGTATAAAATATTGAATGTAATAGGGTTATTAAGGTAACTGTATCAGAATTATTATGGGAATGTCAAGGAGGGAGGGGGAAAGGGAGCGTGTGGAATTCTGGTGGTGAGTGAGGATTGTATGAGGATTTGAAAGGGAGTTTGAATGTGAGGCAGTTGAGAGCAGTGGGTTCTGGAGGGGGTGGTTGAGCAACTAACTATTCATTTTAGGATCAGTAGTCTAGTCGTCATTTTTGTAATAAAGCAGCATATAAGATAAAGAGAATTTGAGGCCATAAGCTCAGTACACACACCATCCTACAATCATTTAGTGAATAATCCATACAGTCTCCTTTAGTGAGGGTGCAGTACCTAGGATCTAGACCAAACATTGATGTTTTGGGCTCTTTTCTAGTTCCATAGGTTTATGTTCTGGTTCTTATATGTAATAGGGGTGGGGGCTCTTTAAATACTGGGGGCTGCCACACACTCCTTGTCTTCTTTAAAAAAAAAAATAATTTCCCCTTGTTTTCAAAAGCACATGCATTGTCTCTTTCTTCAGGTTCTTCAGTTACATTTGTTGTGAGACATTGGTGTTATATGTATAGGGTTGGGAAGAAAAGAGTGGCCGCCCCGCATAATCAAGACAGTGCACACACACCATTTGAATGGGAATGCCCATCAACTTTACGGGGGTCCAGCCCCCTCAAATATTTTACTGTGGGGGCCGAATCCCCCACAGCCTCTAGAAGTTGGCTCCTATGGCACTTATGGAATGAAAGTTCAAATCCCCACTCACTCATTAAGCTCACTGGGCAACCTTGGGCCAGTCACTGTCTCTTAGCCTAACCTACCTCACAGGGCTGTTGTTGGATAAAACAGGGAAGGAAGGAACCACGTGTGGCCTCTCCTTGCACAAAATGGAGGAATGCTGGTATATAAAAGTAAAAAAAGTATATAAAAAAGGAATCATGTAACCCTTTGGAAAAGAAAAAAAAACTACCTCCATGGATCGAACGCTGCCTAATTCCATGTTTACCATTCTTTTAAAAGCCTCACTTTCCCAGTGCTTCTTGAACACCAACTCCCCTCAAAAGAATGTGAAGATATTGCAATCATGCTATCGTGACAACTAACTATTGCAATGCCAGAAAACCCCCTTCCAGCCTCAAGTCCGTGAAACCATTGGAAGGAGCACATCTTGATTCGTGTGCTAAAACGGGATGGTTTATATTTAGGATGTTTTGCTAGGGTGGGGAAGGATAATTTTTCAGAAGGGCACTTCTTCTCTTTTCAGGGAGCGAGCACGTTTCTCTCACAATGTGCAGCCACCACACGTCCCCCCACAATTTACATATGAGCTAAACAAGCTATAGCTTAGGGCCCCACTCTCTTGGGAAAATTAAAGGGGGAAAACTGGATGTACATTTCCAAAATATAAGATACAAAAACAAATAAAATAAAACCTACATACAGCAACAGTGTTTTGTGTTGTGTAGGCTCCTATGATGTAAGTCATGGGCCCCGCCTGCTAGCCTGCTCCCTAAAATGTCACTGGTTTGCTCATTTCTATATATATAGGGTGCCTGCATTCTGCATGGACTGGTTGCATGGCAACTTGTGCAAACGGTTTGAGATACCTATTAGGTCCATAAATTACCATATAGCATATATTCAACATAAAAAACAGCAACAATTTGTTGTTGACAAAGGACAGCTGGACATATAAAGGGCCCCATCACCTTCAGTAGCTTAAGGCCTCATCAAACCTAAATCCGGCCCTGCCCCCCACCCCACCCCGGCCTCGTTTCCCGTCCCTTGAAGCGCCCCCGCGCCGGGTGTTCTCCTGCTTCTTGGAAAAACCGGCACATCCCACCAGCCTCCCGCCTCCTCCCTCAGGAATCGGACCGAGCTGTTTATCGCCCGAGGCCCGCCCGAAGTCAAAGCGCCCACAGTACGGATACAGCCTTCCCATTGGCTCTTTCTGGTAAAACGACCCGCCAATGACGAGCGGGTCTGGCCGCGCTCCATTCTCTCTTCCTCCCCCTCCCTCCCAACTCCAACCGCTCAGTCTCGCGCCGGATATTTGACGGTTTCTCCAACGGCCGGGAGGCGCGCGCGGGGGGGGGGGGGAGAGAGAACTAAGGCTCGGGACTTGGACGAGGGAGGATGACACCGTGTCCTTCCATCCCCCAACCGCGTAAACAAGGGCAAGTGGGTCGAGAGCGAGAAAGACGCACCCACTTTCCCTGTGCCGCCTCCTCCGCCACGCCCCTCTCCCTTTCCTCCCACGGCAGCCGAGCCTTCTAAGCGGCGAAGGGCTAAAGGTCGCCCCACACGCACGCGAGATACCTGGAAAGGGGGAGGGGCTGTGGGAAGAGCCCGCTTGGGGCAGTTAGCCTGCGGAGAAGGGGCGTGGCTTGGCGAGCACGCTCCGGACACGCCCCCCGGAGGGAGGGTTCGAAGTGGTAAATAAGGGGCCGCACGTGCAGGGCGCGAGGCGAAAGGGTTCGAGCGGAGGAACCAAGCAGACACATCTACACACTCCAGCCGTTGCTCACGGTCATCGTTTCGCTGCCGCCGCGGAGCCATGAAGGCCGCTCGCATCGCGATTCGCAGCGCGGCCCCCTTGGCGGTCGGGGAGCGGGCGCCCCGAGAGGTGGAGCATTTTGCCCGCTACTCTCCGTCGCCGCTGTCCATCAAGCAGTTCCTGGATTTCGGTGAGGGCAGTTGCGGTGCGATCGACGCGTGTGTGAGAGAGGGAGAGTGGGTGGCCGCTGTGGGGCAATGCCAGAGCAAAAGGGTGGGTGGGGGGTTGAGGTGGTCGCTGGTGATAGATGGTCTTTTGGGACACCGCCTAGTAGGGTCCTGCTTGAGATGACTGTGTGTGTGTGTGTATAAGAGGTGCAGTTTAGTGTGGAGAGGCCATAAGGCTTAATGATCTTATGGACACCCCTCCCCCATAGATCAGCCTGGTACCCCCCAGATGCTGTTGGACAGCCAGCCCCAGACAACATCTGGAGGGGCGCCAGGTTGGCAAAAGCTGCTACAGATAGCAAAGTCTATGACTGCACTCACTTCAAGTTGTGGGAAGTCAGTCCTGTTGCATTAGGGGGCTCATTCTGTTAAGGGGGGGTACCCCTGGTCCTCTGTCCTTGTATTCATGGGTTGGGCTTCCAAAGCAGTGTAAGCTGAGGGAAAGGAGGGTGAAAACGATTTTGCTTTGGGATGTGTGTGTCTGGATAATGCTCCCAAGAGGGATGGGGTGGGTGTGGAATGTTATCTCCATCTTTTCTTACTGGCTTGCATTCAAGCAAATTGCAGTGGGGTGGCTATGTGCATCTATCACAGCAAAACCAAAAGCAAACAAGTCTCGGCTACCTTAAAGCGCTTAATCAAGTTCTTTGTTACATCAGCTTCTGTGGACTGGAGTCTGGTTCATCAAGTGAATTCATCTGATGCAATCCACACATTTGATGCTATGGGATCTAGTCCAAAGGAGTTTATGCCACGATCTCTTAGGCTGCAACCTTATGTACACTTCTCTGGGAGTGAGCACTATTGACAGGGCCAGCCCAAGACATTTTAGGACCTGAGCCAAACCACAAAATGGTGACCTCTCTCCTCACCAGGGAGGAAGGGGTGAGTGAAGATCTGTATCAGGTGCAAGGGAGGAATAAAGATCTACATTGAGATCTGTTGTCCCTCTGGATTATGCTGCCCAAGGTGGTTTCCTCACCTTGGTGGGCCAGCCCTGACTATTAACCTTGCTTCTGAGTATACTTGCACTACAAATCTTTAAGGATCCCCAAAACTCCCTTTGGTTTATTCATCTTTTGCCCTTGTACTCCAGCTGAAGTTTTCATTTGTTGTTAGCATATCTTAGGACTGCACAGAGCTCCATGGAACTGTCAACCTGTTGAGCATATAGATTTTTTTCATCTTTTTTTCTCTGTGGTTTTGGTATGCAACAATTTTGTTATGCAACAATTTTGGTTCTATTAGAAAGCAAATGTGCAGGGAGAGTTTTGCAGGAAATTACTATAGTTTACTGGAATTCTCAATTCTCAAGTTAAAAAAATGACATTGTATGCTCTTTCCCTTCATATGGTACTTATTAAATCTATTATGCAATCAAATGTGAAGCATTTGGAAATAGTTCACCTAAGTAAACATTTGTCTACATGCCTGTGTTTCTAAACTATATTTTTCTTAGTCACTGAAATTGGTTCTATACTTTTTAATGTTGGCTTTTAAAATCTATAAAGAAGCAGTTTTACCTTTTTTTAAAAATGGCAGTTTTTCAAGGGTGCTTTCTAGGAATCTTCATAGTTGTTTACTCTATTCTCATTGGCTCGAGTTGCTTCACATGTTCTATTACAAATGCTAGAAAAAAAATGGTAATAACTTCAAGTCACAAAGTATGAAAATAGGATTTTGTCCTCTAGTTCTGATTAATTGGATAAGTAATTTTCAGCATTGCTCAGTTTATTACTTTTAGCCTGGCCACCCATAGTAGGCTTTGTTAGTTTATTATTGCTGACACTGTATTCAGTCATTCTTCAGCCATCAGTGTCAGTCTGTTGTGTGGTAGAAAAAGCTGTTTTTCATTTAGTAGATACAGTTTAAAACTTTACAACTTATAAGCAGAAAAAAATATTAATCACTCAGCTGCTAGATATATAAATACACATGCCAGTGTGTTAGGTGTGGTCTGCTACTTGCAGCTAAAAGGAATTATTTAAAGCAGTAGTAATTTTGCCAAAGCTTTCTATACATGCTTGTGGTTTCACCAGATCTCTGTTGTGGCTGGTTAGCAATGATTGGCTTTTGTTCGTCTCTATTTTCTGTGAGGGCCCACAATTTTTACTTGTAGAAAAGCCAAAGGCATTTTAAAATTACATACTCTTAATGTTAAGTAGTACTGTACTTGTTGAACTTAAAATAGAGTAAAGCATTGTGAAATTTATATGCATTTGTGGGGGTTTGTTTGTTAATATCTCAAGAGACAGATAGTGTTCATCATTCTTCTGAACACTTGGTGGAACACAGCTGGGATGTGGCCTAGTCCACTTTTCCCAAGTATGGTCCTGTGCATGTTTACTCAGAACTAAGTCCTACCAAGTTCAGTGCAATTTACTGTCAAGGAAGTGCACATATGATTGCAGCTTAGACCTTTTTCTTAATCCTTACCAAGAAATTGTAACTACATATAATATGGTTTAAATCAATAATAGTTTATAGCTAATTTTATCTGTGGTAAGTCATATCATAGCTCTGTTCCCTAAGAGCACATTGGTATTGCAGAAATGTGTGACAAGCAGAAGACACCTGATGATTTTCAGAGATTACTTTGTATTTACTGCTGCCATTGTGCAAAACATCCTTTAGTTCTAATAACTAGCAGTCGCTACAGGATCTTGCACTGGTAGCTGAGCTACTTGATTGTGTAACATAAAGTTGACATATGATATCTTGAAGCTATTCCTTATGGTGCTTATATGGAAAACAACTTAAACGAGCTGGCTTTTGTTTTTCAGGGTCAACTAATGCATGCGAGAAAACATCTTTTTCTTTTCTTCGACATGAACTTCCTGTGAGGCTAGCAAATATCCTAAAAGAAATCGACTTCCTCCCTAGCCGACTGTTAAGCACTCCTTCAGTACAGTTGGTAAAAAGTTGGTAAGTAGCAAAATTTATGTAACACATTTTACTATGTTCAACTTAATCCTGCTTTTGTATTTTAAATTTCAGAAAGCTTCATATTTACTTTGCAACAGTAACAAGAACCTTTACAGTGGTACCTCGAGTTACAAACGCCTCAGGTTACAAACGCTTCAGGTTACAAACTCCGCTAACCTGGAAGAGTTACCTCGAGTTGAGAACTTTGGCCCAGAATGAGAACGGAAATCGTGTGCCAGCGGCAGCAAGAGGCCCTATTAGCGAAAGCACACCTCTAGTTAAGAGCAGTTTCAGGTTAAGAACGGACCTCTGGAACTAATTAGGTTTGTCACTAGAGGTACCACTGTATTTGAAGCTTGACAAGTTGGTAGTAAAATGCAGATCATTATATCAAGGCCATAGAATAGAAAAGCACGTGCTGGACGCACAACTATGGCATCCTCTGTAGTCATTTTATAGCTGCTGCGGCTGCTTGTTAAATGTGAACCAAGATGCTGTGAAGCCTCACATAATTGTCTTCTGCCCATGTAGTGTTATCATAATGATGACATTCTGCACAGTCAAGATAAAGGAATTGCGCTTTAACAGCTGCTGTGTTTGTGCACAGATTTGGTGGCATTGTTTGCGTCCTTGGTATGTGCAATTCTGCATACCAACTGATACCACACACATTTTAAAAAACATAATAGTGAGCCGGAGATAGCTTAAGAGGCGTGCATACAAACATTGAGGCAGGCACATATGAATTTAAAATATTTTTTTCTACTCCTAAACTTAACTGAAGTCCTAGTAGTCTGTTTGCTCATAGTTTGCCTTCTACTTGAGGTCACCCAGTTACTGAATTGCTAAAGCAATCTTATCTGTCCAGTCAACTTTCCCTGGCCTGTATGAATAATTCATGGTTTACTTTGTATATTAACAGGTATGTTGAAAGCCTAATGGAGCTAGTGGAGTTCCATGACAAAAAATCAGATGACCACAAAGTTCTATCAAAGTAAGTTCTTATGAGTTGTGTTGTTAGTAGCTTTACTTCCTTCACAGTAACAGCTGACTTGATAGACCTATTGAATTATTCAATTCAGAATACAGAGACTACTGATCATATGATAATGATCAAAAGCTTTTAACAGTATAGCTAACTGACACCTGATACTGCAAAAAATGGCACATTGAAATAAAATAAGTCAGCAATAAATTATAAACTGTCAAGATAACATTAAGATGCTTCAATTATCTTGACAGAATGAATGGTGAAAAAAATAACTTATTTCAGTTTTGCTTTGCTGCCTTCGTCAGATAGGCCAAGTCTAAAGTTATCCCCCCCCCTTCCCAGTTTCATAGATGCCATTGTCAAAGTCCGAAATCGGCACCATGATGTAGTGCCCACAATGGCACAAGGGGTTCTAGAATATAGAGATTCTTCCAAGATGGACCCATTCATCAATCAAAACATCCAGTACTTCTTGGATCGCTTTTACATGAACCGGATATCCATTCGAATGTTAATAAACCAGCACAGTAAGTTGTTTTTCCATCCCTTTGACAGGTTGATTTTAATGTTTTTGTCAAACATTCTTAGAAATATTTGATGAACTGTGGATTTTATTAATCATTTATCTATGCTGGTTGTAAAAAGAAAAATGACAAGTGTAAATGATGTAAATTATTATGCGAGGGAGAACAAGGGTCAAAAGCAGAAAGTAGTTAGGTAATAAACAGTATAGCCAAAAAGCAATGGAATTTGTGTACATAACAACTCCAGTACTAAAACCTGGTACAGTACTACACACAAGGGGAAATGCATTGTGATACAGATGCCTCCAGACTAGAAAAATGTAAATGCCAAAGCACTTCACTGTAGTAGATAGAATAGCAGATAAAACCTAGTTCAGCAATGAAGCTCACTAGATGGCCTTCAGCAAATCACTGACCCTTGGCCCATCATCCCTTACAGAGCAGTTATAAATATAAAGTTGGATAGTCCCTTCTATGTCACCATGAGCTCTTGGGGGAAGGAGAGGTAAGACAGGGCTGCCATACGTCCGGATTGCACTGGACATTACAGGGATTTAAAAGGTGGAATTGAAGTTCGGGGGGAATTTCCAAAAGGTGGCACTTTGTCCTTTTTATTATTGCTAAAAATAATCCTTTAGATAGCTGTAATGAATTACGTTGAGCAACCTGAAAAAAATTGATCATTTTGTCTTTTAATTCAACAGCACTTATTTTTGATAACAATAACAATGTGGGTAATCCAAAGCACATTGGATGCATTGACCCTTGCTGTGACGTTGTGGATTTGGTGCATGGTACGTATATGAAATTGTCAGCATCCCCTGGTGGATTCAGCTACATGTAGAGAATATGTCCTTTTGTTAGATGCATTAACCAGTTTGAGAAAGTGAAAGAAGTGTCAGTCTTTCATGAGTATCCTAGCTTCACATCTAAGTGCAGAATATTTTGGGGAAGGACTGTAGCATTTCCCTTGCGTGCAGAAGGCCCCATGTGCCTTCTCATGGGTCTTCAGGTGGGGCTGGGGAAAGATTCTTCCTAAAACCCTGGAGAGCCTCTGCCAGTCAGAGTCAACTGTGCTTAGGAAGGTGGAAGAGTCAATTGTACTATGGTATAAGACAGCTCCATATGTTCATGTGTATACCTACCTGCATATTCTGACCGTCATGAGACAGGGATCCTGGCAAGCTGCACACTTTTACACTCAGTAGTGAGTGAACGAAGGGTGGAATGCCTGTTTTTAACGGGTCATCAGAATTTTCTCATGCAGTCAGGTGGCATTGCATTTCTGTTGGGTACAGCCCTATTCAGTCCACTGCATGCAAGATCTGTTGATTTCCACGTGACAGACATGTGCAGTTAGAAGTCTTGGGTAATATGTAACGGATATTTCAGTGGCATTCTGTGCCTTAATGCTGACAGTTATAATTCAGCTTTCTGTATATATTGAAGCCTTATTTCAATGCTAGAGAGCACAGCCTGGAGTAGCCTAGTATCTAGGATATACCTAATGATGCATAAGAGTTTGTGTTAAATCGTGCTTCATTTTTTCTTGTTAAAATGAATTCCAGATGCTTTCCAGAGTGCCCAGATGCTTTGTGACCAATACTATTTCGCTTCTCCAGACTTAAAGCTTACTCAAGTGAATGGTGAGTGTATTTTCCTCTTTTCCACCATATCAGAGTAGCACTTTGGTTTCTCCTCTTTAGAAGCTTTTTGCTCTTACTGCTGACCCACTTGTCTAGAATTGAAGGCTTACCATTTCCCCCCCTTGAGAAAGTGCTAAATTTGCACGGTTACATTCATTCACCTTTGCCACCCCCAATAAATATGATGCAATATGCCAGAATTGATTGAGCACATGGACATGTAGTAATTCTGACAGGGTTGGCACCAGCATTTCCTTAAAAGAAATCAAAAGAAGAAATTAGCTTAGCTGCAAATCCACCATTATTATAATAGTTCAAGAATGTTTTTTCTCATGAAGGATGGATTGCAGGAAGTTTGTACTTCTTCAGCACAATACAAACTTCTGCAAAACAAGAACATTCATAACTACAGTACTATAGAATAATAAAGGATAACAAAGTTCAGGATGCAGTGTTAAATGCACAGATCTTAATTAAAAGCATTTATTGTGGACACACAATAACAATTGTTTGAAGTTGAATAGCAGCTGTGTGCTGATTATTGTTTGTGCATCTTCCTGCAGGAAAGGCAGCTGGACAGCCTATCCACATAGTATATGTACCATCCCACCTCTTTCACATGCTGTTTGAACTTTTCAAGGTTTGTGTTTGCAATTATGAAACATTCATTTTTCGCCTCCATATTTATGTGTGCATTAGCAGCAGCATTTGTTCAGCACTGTTTTTACTATTCTGCTTGATGCCTTCGACTCTTTTGGAAGGAAGAAGTGGGATAGAAATCTAATGATACATTAGTATATTGACTGGAATTAAAAATAGCAAATATTAGAGCGCCTCAGATTGAATTAAGTCCTCCTGATTCTTTGTTTCTTCTAGAATGCAATGAGAGCAACAGTTGAACACCAGGAAAACAAACCTTCCCTTGATCCAGTTGAGGTGACCGTTGTACTTGGAAAGGAAGACCTGTCAATTAAGGTATCTTACAAGGCTTTTTTCCCAATACAATAAGTGCAACATATAATATAAACTTACAGATGGGGCACTTCCAGACAACCTGTTTATTGAGCATTTTTCCTGAAATAGTGACCGTCTGGAAGCATCCGGAGTCTCATAGGTTTAAAAAGATTTGGTGTGGAATAGATGGGCAGTGAATTGCAGCAAAATTACAAATAGTCAAGCCTTTGGAAATTACAACAAGCTGTCGCTAGCCAAATACTGTTTTGGACAGAATATGATTAAGAAAAAGATAAGCAAATTTGATACAGGATGATCCTTAAAGCAGAAATGATTTAGTGGCTTTGTGCGGGCATTAATGATACTTCAACAAGGATTTGAAATACTGTATGCATTTAATACTTTTTCTGTGTGTGTTCTCAACTAGATATCTGATAGAGGGGGTGGTGTTCCAGTGAGAAAAATAGAAAGCCTCTTCAGCTACACATATTCTACAGCACCAAAGCCTGTGATGGAAAAGAATTCTACTCCTCTGGTAAGAAATGAAGCTATAAGAATTAAGCTGTAAGAAGAGAGCTGAGTCTTTGTAGCTGCCTTGTTCTTGTCAAGGACTTGGCTTCTGAGTTCACTGACAGAAACAATGCTTCCAGGTGTACACGTAAGCATGCCTGATATCTGTAGTGACTCAACCATGCTGATTGCTTCCAATTCATAGAAACAGCCTTGTTTCGGTTGCACCAATTCAGACTCTCGATGGGGGTGCGCATCAGGGTTTCTATATTGGGAGGAGATGAGTATTGTGTTCTGAGCCCATCACCTGTAGTTTGGTGTGTACAATTTATACGCAGGTTTACCTCTTCCAGACCTGATAGTGACCCGATACTGGGCATGTATTTCCACCTCTTCCCCTTTCTGTTCAGCATTACTAATTATGTAGACAAGCAACCACTGAGGAGCTTCCGAAACTAGATCAGTAGTGTTGCATTATTTTCAGATTGCCTTTGTTTATAATGCAAACTACGACTGCATTATACAGGAGAGAACTTTCTTTCCTCATATTTCTCCTGTGAAGAACCATTGTAGAGCACATCATTTTTCATTGGGACTCCATACCAATAGGATCTACACAGTGTGACACTTGTACTGTACTTAGCCTAGGAATAAAGGACCCCATCGTTCCAATTAACAAAATGCCGCATTTCTTTCTAGGCTGGTTTTGGTTATGGCTTACCCATTTCTCGCCTGTATGCTAAATACTTCCATGGGGACCTCCATCTGTGTTCCATCTCTGGTTATGGAACAGATGCTCTCATCTACTTAAAGGTATGTTCTGCCCGTCCCCAATCCCAATAATTTTGTAGTGTTGCAACTGTACCTATCACCAGCTTATTTGAATCAAGTTTGTTTTTATTTATTAGTAACTTGAGCTTTATTACTTTAAAGACAGTACTTTGTATCAACTGTACATTAGTCACCAGCGAGTCTTTGCAGAATATGCTCTTCAAAAGACTGCTGTTGCCTTTGTCTAAGTAGGTCATTGTAAGTTATTTTATTCTTTGGATTACAAGCCATCTTGGCTATTTTATAGAAATATGGAAGTATTACAATGTGATAAATTAAAAAATAATTGAAAGTATGTGCCAAAATGAGAGTTCTTAATAAATGTAGATTGGCCGCCTTCACATTAAAAATAATCTGACTTTGCTTTTCCCCACAAATACTAAGTTTAGTCTCTCTCACTACTTGTCATTCCTGTATTATCAGTTAGTGTTCTGTCTTTAAGATTGTTATAAGTGTGGTGCATCATAAACTTCAGTCTCAAAAGCTTGGCAGAACAATCAAGTCTCAAACTTTGAATCAAACCTGTTCCAGGCTGTATGTTTGCTCATAACTAGGCTCAGTAAAAAAATCAGTTTACTACATTGATAGTAATGGTGTAATCTAACTATATTTGGTCTTGCTTTCCAGGCCCTTTCCACAGACTCTGTAGAGAAACTTCCTGTTTTCAACAAGTCGGTTTCAAAGCATTATCAAACCACTATAGAAGCAGATGATTGGTGTGTTCCAAGTAAAGAACCAAAGAATGTGTCAAGGCAGACTGCAGCTGCATGAAATCTGCATTTCTCCAGAACACTGAAAGTGGATCAAACCAATGTTTCAGATAGGACTAATGAAACGAATAACTAGAAGTCATTCTCTTCTATACCAGGATTTAGCAAGAGAAGAAATTATATGGAACACATGATTACAGCATAGACTGCATGTACTGTATCTGTACTACAGCATGTCTAATGATAACTGATATGTTAGGAGAATCAAAATGCATAGAAATATGTGCACATCATTTCTTTTTAGCTTTTTGAAATTTAAATTAGCACTCCCAAGTACTAATGTTTTCAGACTTCTGAGGTGGGACTTGTTAATATTCAAAAAACGTTATGTTGTGGTTGAACTCCAGTACACATCAATTTCCCCCTAATCCAGTCAGTAGGTATTTCATCCTATTACAAAATTATGACTTTAAGTATATTTGACATGCTCAACCGACAAAGTCTAGTTGAAAGAGCACCAACAACAGGCTACCTTGACTGCAGTTGTTTGGCTTGATCAAGAGTGCAATGCTGAAAGTTGCATATTTCTAAACTTGCTCCAAATGGTGAACATTACTTGAATTTTTAAATGTAAAATAGCTGTATTTATGTATAGCGTTTTCATTGCTTTTCTAATGCTGAGATTTTGCTCTTCTTGGAGAAGAATCTTAAAGTGATGTCAAGGAAGTGACGGTTAGATATTGTGAAGATAAAAGATTATTAGCTGTATCTTGGTGTATGGCTCACAGCTCAATACAGTGAGGGAGCAGCAGTACAAATAGGGTATTTTAATGATACTTAAATTGCAAGTCATTGAGCAGGATATGAAGCTGTTTGTGAGAGGGGAGATGAGTTCTCTAAATGGTACTGTTACTGTGTATGTGTGTGCACACCCAACTATGTTTTCAGGGTGTAAATTTGAATCATGTATGTTAATTTGGGGGCCACCTGCTACAGCTCAATTTGAAAAAAAATGTGACTTTCAATGCTGTAAATGTTAAGATTACTCTTGAGACATTTGCAGGGATGTGATGATAAAACAGGTTGTGGAAGATATTGTGCCTGTATCGAAAATGCGTAAGGAACAGCTGTGAGAAATACTATTTCTTTGTGTAACTGCAAAGAACGAGGGTGGCAGAGTGTCTCTTTTTGTGAAGAGAGCATCGGGAGAATATTCCATTCCAAATTGTGCTGCTAAAAGGCAGCGAATTTGATCAGGGCCCAGCTAGTGACAATCCAGGTCAGTCTTCTTTTTTTCTTTTTTAAAAAAGCAATAATGTGCTAAAGAGCTAAAACTACTTTATGTTCAAAATGATTGCTATCTGTGGAGATTTAGTGTCTGCTCAGTTGTGGACAGCAATGAAGCTCCCACATTTGCTGATGTCCATTTTTGCTGTGGACATTGGGTTCAGTTGAATTGGTAATCCCAGCCATGTGAGGCTATTATGTGCAGTTGGTAACCTGTACCAACAAAAGGCTTAACAGCTAACATTGCTGGAGCATTGGATGTTTTTGTTCCTTCCTATTGTCATTGTAGTTCAGTTTTGGGAAATGCTGAAGATTTTTGTTCTGCTGCAGTGCCTATTTGTATATGCTTTATTATGAGGAAACAAGTGTGTAGGTGACATGCTAATTGCTGTTGCATACTTGAGATGAAGAACTAAGGGGTGAGGTCTTAATGCTGTGCATTAAGTTTAGTGTTATGGTGTTATCACAGTGGCAGCATTAGATAACAAGATGAATGTCATTCAAATATCATCCGCATATGTTCACCCATAATGTTTGGATAACTGTGATAGAATTTGTGCCTTTCATGCAGTGCATACAATCTGCTAAAGATGAGTTGTTTTACTGTTTTAATAGCCTATACTGTCAGTCTATGCAGTGTTTCTGAAAAGAACCAAAGGTGCCATCTTTCTGTCACAGACCATATTAATCACGCTAAATGGATACTAGAATTCCTTTGGCTGAATTATATGGCTGCAGTAAAGGCAAGCCTAAGTATGCCATTGACTTTGAGCAGAATAAGCTTTTGGTGCTGTTTTATGCTCAGTACAAAGTGAAAAATGCAGTGTAAAAAACCCCAAATTTTTGAAGACTGAAGTATTTCTTCCACAGTGTGCCTTCGAGTTCAGGTGTACTCGAGATGTATTATAAGATTTTTAATAAAATTGTGGTGTTTTTTAAAAAAAAATACTGTGTGACTCTTTCTTCTCCACCCTCCTCTTAAATCATGCAAGCAATGGATTGCCTGTTACATGGTTGATTTCTAAGTCTGCATTTTATTTTTTAGTCTATCCATTTTTTTAAATTACATGTCCTTGTTATTGGGGGGGGCAGACATTATTGCTTCCATTTTTGGTCCAACAGTTTATTTCTAGTTGTTGCTCAGTTATTACTGCTATTCTATAGCTTGTAAACAGTAACACTGTCACTTCTCTCAAACAGTGAACTCTAGTAGCTGAGCGCTTAGCAGTCTGGAAGCAAAACTAAGGTAGTGGTTTCTGTCTACATGGTTGGGCAGTTCCTCAAATATGCAGGTGTATAGTTTTTGTAAATGAAAAGAGAAAAAGCACCCCAAAAGACCTTGAATTTTTTTTGAGGCTTCTGGATATAATGGAATGTTGGGGTATGGAAATAAATGGGGAAGACACAACCCACTTACTCAGCCCCCTAATAATTTACAGTAACTGCAGGAGGGAGGGAATGAGGATTAGGGAAATATTTTTTAAACTCACAGCATACAATGACCCTGTCCCCACGCAAGGATGTCTTGAAGGAAGGCAAAGCTAAAGCCAATACACTTTCAATTTGCCATGTGCCAACATCCTCACCTGCTCACTATGTATGGTATAAATGATCATTTTGTTCACAGGCAGCATGTAAACTCCAGCTTTGTAGCACTATAACATACCACAGAAAAGTCTCATGATGTGCAAAAAAGAAAAAGTCAATCCAGGCTCCCTCGTTCTGAACTAGAGAATTCCTGTTGTGGGTTTGGAGAATTCCTCTCTTGGGGTTGTGATATGCTGCAACATTTTGTTCAGAGTCCAGTTTATCTTGGTATACAGACTCATTTAAGAGAGCCGTAAATCCCACAACTGCCCTTGCCGATGCAAAACTAGAGACAGTTCCTACTCATCCCACACAATTATATTGGGGGCATAATCTCTTGTGGGAGCAGATAACCAGAATGTCATGACAGCCCTGGAGCTGGTTTTGAATGTCAGGGGGCCCATCCGAAGTAGAGGAAAATGTCTGCTACTTAACTACATTGAGCCATTATTTTTAGAGGTGGGTGGGTGTTTAGAATGTCTTGAGCTCTAGCACCCATTGTTTTAGAAAGTAAGCACTGCTCTCAGAATGCTGAAAGGAAAAAGAGAGCCAGAAAGCAATGAATATCAAGAATTAGAGTATTGGTTAAGCAGTAGTATAAAAGTTAAGGCCTGACAGAAAAAGTCTTCCCAGGCTTGTTTTGTGACCTTTTCAAAAGTGACACCTGTGGCTTTCTAGGTGGAGAAAATCCAGCAAATTTAAAAACAAGGAACTTGTTTTGCCAAATTTGGACTGGGTCTCAACAGAAACAAAGAAGAATGCTTCTCATGTACTACTAAAAAAACTTTATAAAATCTTTCTCCCTTTAAGGTCCATGTAAGTCCTTGCCAGTTTTTCAAAAGCCCTGTGCAAACAGTTCATCAATCTATGTATACATTGCACAATCATAACTTGAAATTAGTTTCTAAGGCTTATTCTACAGCTGTTCACAGCCCCTCTCTGCTTTATATAGTGCCTGTCTACCTTTTGATTAGAAATACTTTGCCCTTTGCCGTGCACTTGTTTGCTCTGCAAACTTTCAAGGAACTCATTTTTTAAAAAAGGTCTTGTTACATCACCTTATGTAACTAGGTTACATAAAGGGAAACTTTCAGATAAGGCAGCTTAGGAACACCACCTTCCTGGGGCAATGTCTCCAGATAACAGCTGTAATAGCTAGCTTAAAGGAGAGTGGGCAGGGATGAGTGGGGTTCAAAGTATACAAGTGTGTGCCACTTGATTCAGCAAATTCAGGAATAATTCATTGCAAAGTTCTTTTTCAATGTTTCTTTTGGATCCTGACAAAAGGTGTACACACCACACCACACCACACCACACCACACCACACCACACCACACCACACACAAACAGCAACATCATCCTTCTAGGTTGCCGCTGTTTCTGCTTCCCAGATGGGAAACAGACTAGAAATATAAAATTGTGGGTTCCGACTGGCTGGTCCAGACATCCCCTTTTTACGTCCATTCTAGGAATGTTGTATTTGACGGCTCTGTTTCACACCCCACAAAAATGCCCAAGGCCAGACAGCGAATCTATGGTACAGAATCCTGAGCTTTAGTTGAGGGCCACCTTGTTCCTATTTAGCAAACTTTTTCAGCAGGGGGCCAGTCCACTGTCCCTCAGACCTTGTGGGGGGCATGAATGAATTCCGATGAGCCACAAATAACCCAGAGATGCATTTTAAATAAAAGCCACACATTCTACTCATGTAAAAACCTGCTGATTCCCAGACCATCTGATGGCCGGATTTAGAAGGCGATTGGGCCGGATCTGGCCCCCAGGCCTTAGTTTGCCTACCCATGGGCTAAACCATGCTGTCAGGCTAAAGCCATGTTGCCCATACTACTTATTAAATGAATTCAAATTGGTACCTTGACTTGTATTCAGCAGGTGACAACCCTACATCAATGTGCTCCCCGTTGGATAATGAGCCAATAACCACCACTCCCTGCCCAAAAAAACAGAACAACATTCAGAGTCAGCCACATTCAAAGCTGCAGGTTAAGATGTCAGCCAATATGCCTAATGTCCTTTAACTCATAGGGCTCTCTGATGGTTGTAAACCATTATTCAGCATGACAAAATTACAGTAGTCTAGTCACTTCCTGTGTAAATGTTTCCCATCCACATGGAGAGGTTTAGAAGTTTCCACTTGCATGTTTGATTAACCATGGCTTGCTGTGTCATCTGAACCCAACAAACTTTATTTAGTCCTTTTTTAAATCAAACTTTATTTGAAACAAACCATCTTCGAACTAGTTTATGGAGCTGGCTTGTTTCAAACAAACCACAGAGATTATCCACAGTTTAGTGTTCAGGCAGAATTCTAAACTGTAATTAATCAGGAAAGTTTTGCTGGTAGCTATGCCAGGAAGATGAAAGTGGGGAGTCCATAAGTCTGTGGACTGGGGAGAGAGTGTTGGCTCATTCCCATCACAATAAACCATGGATTACCATAATGTCACACTGCAGCCTTCTTCAGGGGGCAACTGAATGACTTTCATCAATTTCCAGACAAATAGCCTTGTTAGAACAAATACTTTTTTTCAAAGTGTGGGTTGGAGCTTTCTCACAAGAAAACATTTATATAAAGCACTTCAGCCTATCCCTAAAACTTGCATTTCCAGGCGCAGTAATGGAACCAAGTCCATATTGCTCCTCCCAAACTGAATATCCAGAAATGAATATATTTTTGCCACTTTACAAATGTCTGACTACACCATGGAAGGGGAATCTGTGGCCCTCCAGATGTTGTTGGGCTCCAACTCCTCCCATCAACTCCAGCCGGAGTAGCCATGGATCTTGGGAGTCCACCACCCTTTGGAGGACCACAGTCTACTCATCCCTGAACGGCAATCTCAGAGGCTTCTGAGCTTGTTGTAATGAGTGTATTCCTATAATATTGCATTGCAAGGATCTTTCATTTGGCCCCATTCTCCATAACCTAGAAATCACCACCACCTGCTGTAAGTTTCACAACAGTGATGGAAGAAAGCCTAACATCTCAATGCAAGGACCCCATAATTCTATATGAGAGTCAGGGCCCCAAAACCAACAATTAGAGAATGAAGCACTTGATATAGCCATGTTTGTTTTTTAAAAAAATAGGTCAATTCAAAGGTATATCTTTAGAGTCATTCTTTTGTCATCAGTGTTGCTGCCCCTGACAACTATTGGGAAATAACCGAGGGTGTACTGTGGAAATATAGTAGTTTTTTCTTGGTTCAGTCAATAAGGGAGTGTGAGGCAGCCACACCGCAGTGAAGTTAGAGCTATGAAAAATAATACCATGCTTGAAGCGCAAAAGTACCTAGTGGGTAGTTCAATGACTCATTGATTGAGCAGAAGCTCTGTGTGTGTCTCTTGAAGCTTTTGGCAAACCCAGAAGTCGCACGCAGCCTCCATCGAACGTGACAAACGGAGCTACCATGTGGTGTTGGCAGGTAACCTTCTGCCTCTTTCTTGTGCCAAAGCTAGCAGGACTTTTGCATTGCTTGATACAAGTGTGCCCAGAAATCGAGATTCAAAATGAGGAGATGCGTTATAAAAGCGGAACAAGCTCCTCTTCAAAAAAGAAAAAACAACAATGCTGAACTGCATTTTGATGTTGGATTTCAGGCTGCGCAGATATGCTCACAGAAACGTCTCTCTCTTCTGAGCTTTTATTTTAAATTGTGAGACTCTGCCTTCTTGTCTGCTATAGCCCCATGTCTTCCAATGGGGC